TCACTCACAGCACTGTCAAGTGCCAAGTGTCAACCTTTTTACTAGTAGCTAGTAGTATTTAGCTACTCTACTCTACTATGAGAGGGCTAGTAGAGGCTGTAGTCTGTAGAGTTTAATCAGCTTTCCCTCATCATTATTACATATTTAGTGCATCACACAAAGTCACACATGAAGTGTTGTGTTACTTGTGTCAACTGTCATGTGTGTGACACATGTATACTATATTTCTTTATTGTTTTTAAAATAAAACAATTTTTTCATCTGTACACTGATACAGTGCTGGACAGTGGACAGTTGCCGTTGGTCTGCTGGTGTCTGTTGGAGACTTGGAGTCGGAAAGTGGAGACTGGAGCAGTCTGGAATCCGCATATTTAGGAAGCTTCTTCCTTCTCAGATTTTCTCAGATTTGATTGGAGTTATATGAAAATTGTTTTATCATTTTTCTTGCATAGTTATCAAATTCAACAACTCGGCAAGAAGAAGATCATTAGTAGAGTGGATAATGACTATAAATAGCACAAAGCTTAGGGTACCTTTATGACTACAGATAGTACAGAATACACAAGATCTTTTTTTTAATTTACACAGGGCAGGTCGATATGCCCCAGAGGGGCCAGAGACTCGGCAACTCGGTACTCGGCAGGCGCCAGAAAAGAATTTTTTTTTTTTGAACACAGCCCATGGACTCCTAAAACGGTACATAAATAAATTTGATCATTTTGTATTAGCTGCAGAGATGCAGTTGCCCTGTAGCGATTAACGAAGCTTGGTTGATACTTGGCGTATCTTTATACAACATGGAGTCATCCCTGGCCATCAATGAAGACAATGACAAGCAGTCGTCTATCGCTATCAATGAGAAGAAGAGTGAACCTGAAAACGGATACGATCTGTACGAGGAGACTGAGGATGATTCTAGTAAAGAGAAGCCAGGCTTTTTCTACAATGGGCGTGCATGCTGGGGTGGGTTACCCAAGTGGTTGTTCATAATGTTGATAATTGTGGCAGTTATCGGTATAATACTTGCAATAGCCATACCCGTTGGTTTGTATGTGGTGGGGCCAGAGGTGACGCAGTCTGGTGTGGAGGACAGCACCATGACGGCCCAGAATGTACGCATCACTGGGTGGGGCTCAGAGCTAGACTCCTTGGAGAGTGAGATGAGAGCTGATTATGGTGCTATGTTCGGAGCTCTTTGCAATGAGACGTCCTGGGCCACTGACACGGATACATGGATGAACAAGACTTTGAGCGATATGTTCAAGTGTAATAGCATGCTGGGACTGGTCCCCACTTTGATGCCCATGGCTATTCTCGAGGTGCCTATATCGGAACTCACTAACAAGTGGTTTGGAATTTCAGAATGCTCGCGATTTGCACCCAAACACCTGACTATCACGCAGGACGTGTACATCGCTGGACTACCTAGCGTTACGAATGGCCAGATATTGCCTACAACCTTAGACATTGCATACGATGGAAAAGTGTTTGGACGTCTGGCCCTACCGGTTATGAACCTAGAAACGAAGCTGGAGGATGGCACGCGTGTGGTGAAAGATGTTGAGTGTGGACTGCAAGTCACAGATAGACATGTGTTTCTGGCGGCTAATATGAATCTGTTCCCGTTGGTCCCGCTTGTCAGTGGTCAGACCACGTGGACGCAACAGGGGGTGCTGGTGACCGAGATGGATATGCTCGGCACTACAGTGGTGTACAAAGCGCTGGTAGACAATCCCACTATCATCAAAGATGTCTCCTACCACGCCGGACCCTTCGCAACGAAACATCATGATCTGTGGGACATCAGCATTGATGATCCGCATGAGATGATCATGTGCGTAGTCGGTGGTATGCTGCCTGGGCTGGTTAGTAGTATTGCTGCCCCTGTGCCTTCAGGTGCCGAGCCGACTGAGGCTTCCAGTGCCGGTGGTCTTGGCGCAGCAAGAAAACGTAGAGATGGAGGAGACGGCCCACAATACTGGATACCCAACTACTACCAAGACGCTCGAAAGGATGCAGGTACAGGTCACAGTAAGGGAGCTGCAAGCTCGCGAAGTGATCTTCCGACGAATGTGACTTGTCCGGGCGATGAGAATCCGCAGGGTATTCTTTCTAATCTGATGAAGATGTTTGGAATGGTTGACGATCAGGAAACACACGTGAATCCTGCAGCTGAATTCACACCCACACCCACGCCCATACCGGCGTTGGATTATTTTGTGCAGTGCAATATGACTAAGGCCGGCGACTGTGGGTTCGATACGATGGAGGCAAATCCTGATGGAAAGCTAGGATATTTCGTATACCCGAATGCGGTGTACGGGAAGCACACACGATGTGGAAAGAAGCTTAAGGATGGCATTGAGGCGCCCTACGGATTCACGGTGCAACCTGGGACTATTAACAGGCAAAAAGTGTTATACTATTTCCAAGGTGGCGGTGCGTGCTGGGAAAGTGTATTGCAGGATTTGCCTGTCGTGGGCTCGTTACTGGGTACCCAGGCTCTAAATGTTTTTCTTTGTTCAATTGAAGCAAACCCTCATAATGGCGGTGTTTTCAGTGACCACAACACGAACGAGCTTAATCCGTACTACGGATGGACCATCATTCAGATATCATACTGTACCGGTAAGTGTCATAATTTCATTATTTTCGTCACGACAAGCATACATTTATGTATTTTGGAGGTAGTATCGGCAAATTTACAATTCATTTGTTTTATGGTAATTTCATAATTTCGTATACATATGTGCCTCTATATGAAATACAGTCAAAAACGTATTTGGATATATATCAGTATACGTATATACATGTAACCCCGCACACCTGTACACGTAACTAGTATGACTGAAATGGATATAAGGTATATATGAATATGAATATATATATATATATGTATATATAAATTCAAATTTGTGTAGCTGCATATCTTTCTATCTAAGTATATATTTGTATACATATATGTGTGTGTGTGTGTTTATGTATATATATATATATATAATAGTGTGTATATGAATACGTGTGAATTTTTATTAAAGATACACACATGTATGTATATATATTTTTGTGTGTGGATGTAGATGTAGATGCATATATATTTATCTATATCTATATACCTGCATTAATATTTGTAGATATGTTTATATTTATTTATATATAGATATATTCATATATATATATATATATAAATATATGTATATATATATATACGTATAGATATATATATTCATATATATTTATATTTACAAACATGTACTCATATATTTATATACATATATATATATATATATATGTACATACATTTGTGTGTGTATATATGAGTATATATATATCTTTATATATAATGTATGTTTGTATGCATACATATTAGTACTAGTTTATATGTTTAAATGCAGGTATAACTTATGTATATATATATATACATATATATGTATGTATATTATATATATAGGTTTATAGTTTTTTTGTATTGGTATTTGTATTTGTATTCATTTCTGAATGTTTATGCGTGAGTCGTGTGTGTGTGATTGTACATATGTCAATATGTATATGAAAGTCATGTACATTCACACTCACTTACACATGTATATTTGTATGGCGATATATTGTGAATGGATCTGTACGTATGTGTATCTGCGTATTTTTATCCTTACATTCGAGTATATATACACACGTATATGAATATGTACGTATATATATATATATATATATATGGTTTATACATTGGAATACGAGGTGTATATTGTTTTTCACATTCTATCTAGTCACAGACACTCATATAGACTATACTGACATAAACGCATATTACGTTGTGTTTTTATCGGAATTTATACAACTGACGTTGTGTACTCGAGACATATATTAGGATATATATCCGCATCATAATTTAGATTGACTCAATTGATATTGGAGATTTGGGTTCAGTTCAAGCATTTCGTTCCGAATCTCTTTGTCTGCAAGGCTATTTCCATAACGGTTTCCATGGCGTTCGAACATTCTCGCCTTAATATACTTGGCCAGTTTTTTTTTCTCGAAATTGTTAGATTGCGGCACCTTGTTAAAGATTCCCCTTCTATTTCATTACCGCTAGGTGACGTACATGGAGGCGATGCGCACGACGATGACGTAAAAGTGGCAATCATGGACCTCAACACGCATTTCTTCAGATCGGGGTACAACAACACCATGTCCACGAATGCATGGATTGACGAGAATATCGAGTCCACGGCTCTTGCGCCCGAGAAGTTCGGTCTGGGCGGTTGCAGTGCTGGTGCTCTTGGCACACAAATCTGGGAACCGTACCTGACAAAGAAATACGGCTTGAGCAGTGCCAACAGTCACATCTTCGTCGAGAGTTACCTGGGAATCTTCCCCGAGCAAGAGGCGGACGCTGTACAGAGCAAATTCGAATTCAAAGTTAGCATGGTGCAGGAGGCTGACACGGGTAATGTGAAGTGCTACAATCATACGACCAAGGCCAACGTGACATCCAACCCCACCACATACGTGGGTGAAGTAATCCAGGATGACTGGGGCATGTGTGAGTTGGAGATTATGGACTTTGAGGATGGTGATGGTTTCAAACAGGCCTGCGATGATAAGACCATAGGCGTCGAGGACTGGCTACTCTCCAATGTAAAGAAAACCAAACTGAGACGTGCATATGTCAACTCAAAGGCCGATTTAGTCCAGCGTATGTTTGCCGCTGTGATCTACGCACTGGGAGGTGCTGGTACGAAAGGCGCCAAAACCGAGCCGCACGGTTCATATGTTTCCTCAATGCAAGACCTGAATATGCCTTTTGGCGGCCACAGACTGGAACAGGTGAACGGCACTGATTTTTGTACCTCCGTGAGTATGGCTGATGGTATGTGCTCCGAGATGGCATCTTGCTTCGACCTTAACGTTACCGAGTCTACCGCAAAGGAGACTCCAGTGTACTGGGAAGACTTTGCGCTCAACGGGTACTCCACTTTCCTGGGCAAGGAAGTGCCCATGATTCTGATTGGAATGCTGCAGAAAATTGGACCACTTGGTTCGTTTGAGCCCATTGTCCGCGATATCGGTGTCGATCTGCTCAACGGATTGTCGTACTGGATGATGGGTGACGGGTTCACCGGAGAAGGTAACTACTGGAACCGTGCTAGTAAGGTTCTGACAGATTATCGTTCGGCGCTTGGTAAGGATGCCTCTTGGTTCGTAACCTCCGATCAGCAGCATTGCTACCTGCCTTACCCACAATTCTACGAATGGAACGTGGAAGGCAAATACTTGCACGAGTACCTCAAAGAGTTTGTTAGCAGTGATAGTGCTCCTGAGCCAGTGTGTGCGAATGAGGGATGTTCGCTTCCATGTCCAATCGATCCATTGGCGTAAGGTGATAGGTTCTTGGTAATCAAAATATATAATAGTAGGTAAAGCGACCTTATAAGCGTATCAAAGCGTGTATGAGTCGAAATTTTGAGCACGTAGCTCAAATCCGTAGCGCACCAACATTCAATACATAATCGTGTGTGTCAGGTCGTCTGCATCTTCTCGGGATGTAGGATGGCCACAATAGAAATTAAATAGTATATGAGCATTTTACATGCATAGTGTATTAAGCCGTTTGTATCTCCTCCGGAAGTAGCACGGCCACGTACCAATAAACCGATTTTAAAAAGAAAAAGCCAATCCCTCGATAATTATTTCTCCAAACCTTTACGACCCTATATCGTTTTCGCGAAAGTAAGAATGGGCGGTGAACGTGAATAAAGCTCCTGCTATTTAAGTACGTGTGTATTATTGCAACAAATATTCCATCAAGGTCACAAAAACAGGAAAGCTAAGCTAAAATGGTTTCGCTAAAGCAAGAACGTTCTGCGGCTCAAGAGAATTTTTTTTTTCTCTTTGACTCCCATTTCATGCCTGCAGGCGGTTTCCACGATGAAGCTATTATTGTTTTAATGACAACATTTGAAGAAACTACCGGCCCAGACAATCTTACCCGGAACACAGTACAACTTTGAAGCTTAAACGTGTTTATTCTCAACCTTCCTAGTCTATAGCGAGGAAGTGCAATGCGACTGCTGAAACGATCAAATGTATTTTGTTTCGCCGCCATCGGATGGAGGCCTGTACTACTCCTTCATAATGCATACGTTAAGCCTGTATTGTATACAATCTTAAAAATATGTGGCTCAAGCTTGCCCCAAAAGGTTACCTTTAGTCACGAAAGTTTCTATTACCCTTGTAATCTCTCTCTCTCCTCCGATCCCTATTTCTATCCCTGCTTCTGCTTCGGCTGCGGCTTCTGCTACGGCTACTGTGCCTCTTCCGGTCATGCGACCGCCGGTCTCGATCTGCAGACCTACCGCGTCCTCTCTCAGAAGAATATCGGCGCTCGCGGTCTCTCCTGTCCTTAGAAGTTCGACGACTCCGATCTCTAGACCCGCTGCGACGTCTATCCCTGTCTCTATCTCTTCGTGTACTGCTTCGGTCTCTATCTCCATTTCTCCTGAAGCTATCATCATCCCTATCTCTGCGTGAAGAGCTTTTGTCTCGCTCTCTGCGTGGACTTTCCCGGTGGTCGTCTCGAGAACCTCGCCTGCTCCGAGACACCTCATCTCGAGACTTGCGTTTGGGACCGTCGCGATCAGCGCTCCGGCTACGGCTATGGCCACGTTGCGTAGAAGTGTCTATAACGAAAGCATTGGGATCGAGCGGCAATCAGTAAATATTGTGAACACACAGACACAAGATACAAGCCCTCTAGCTAGATGGGAGGAACTGAACTCCATCCATTACCTAAAGAGAATGTCTCGAATATCGTTCACAAATACGGCGGAGACATTACTTCTACTGCAGACCCGTTATTAGCTTGTGGAGAAATATTGGTTGTTTTGAGTATACTCACCTTTGATAGAAGTTGCAATAGTCTTCGCTTCAGGAATTTCTAATTCATAATTACTCATGTCTTCATCGCCATCATCATCGTCGCCTGTACGTTAGTGTAGGAGAAGTCTGAGGTCTCCGTAGAACCCGTTTTCGACAATGTACAACAAAAATGTGGATGAGAGAACGATGCATGCGTGCGGTACGAACGGCTTTGTCTTCGGACGACCACAAAATCAGAAGGAAAAATTCGACTCAAAATTTATAATCAGTAAATGGAGTACGAAACATATGGGAATAGATACCGGTACCACAAGTTTGCACGGAAAAATCTATGTGAAGGACAATCATGCCATCCAACATCTCAAATAAGAAATCAGCCATATATACTTACTGGCACCCAGATCGTATTTGCTGGCGTCACCTTCATCTTCCTCGTCTGATAGAAGATATGCGAATTGAAAGGGATTTGAGCTCGAAAGTTGATCGGATGCTAAATAGTGCTTTCACTATATTTATACGTGGGAAACAAAATTGAGGCAAAGATTTGTGAAACCATCCTGATTCACAATGAAGTTAACTTGGCCGCGATACTGAACCGCTCCCAGTACACAATCCTCACAATTTGCATGTCAGGTGGCAAAACTAATACATGGGCACATACCTTCTTCTAAATCGTATTTATCCAACTCCTCCTTGCCATCTTCTTCATCAACCTCGAGCTGAGCGGTGGTCGTTGACTTCGACATTGTTTTGCTCTGTAGTGCAATTATATGAGATAATCGAACTCATTAGATTGCTTCTAGCTCAGAAAACCCCAGAAGATGTACGGTTATATTTAATGAACAGCTCCCAATCCCTAGTGATATTAAGCACATCAATTACTGATGATATACAGAATAACCTGTCGAAATAAAAACCACTCAAGTGAAGACAACTTGTCTATAGAAAGTACATGATAGTTCTTTATTTAGTGCCTGACGGTCAATTGTAACATATACAAAGGAGAGTCGAGAACAAGGATAGCATTACATACATTCGTTCGTATCCACATCTACTGGGGTCGAAGCCATGTCACGTAATATACAGGCACAAACACACCCAATCCTTACCTTTTTCTTTTTCCTACGGCCAAACTCGTCGAATTCATCGTCTGTCTCCACTCTTTCGTGGTATTCGATGCCTTCTCTTTCATTGAAACCCCCACCAAGACCACCTCTATCCTCAGTCTGGTGATAAACAATATATCAATTGGCATCATGATCGAGTATATATTACCAAGTCACATTCCAAAGGACAATTGACACTTGTATAATACATTTACTACCATCATTATTGTAGAAAGCCATATGTACGTATCACGATTCGGTTAGATACAAGATACAACAGAAAATACGAGATAAAACAGAAAAGAGAACAAACAAACAAAAAATGATCTGTATACTCAATTTACCTTTGGCCATCAAAGAATGTCAACAATAATATGAAATGCGAAAACGAGAGAAAGATTCCGTTGGTTTGCGGCTACAAATATATAGTCCGAATCAGTATCAAAACGGTCAAACTGAGATACACTTCTAGGCGATAGTTACATCACACACCTTGCCATCGCGTGTATGATTACAGACATTACATGTCGCTCTCTTTGACCAATTGATATTGCTGCACCTGCATTGTATTGAAAAGTAGCGGTTTCATCGAAAAGAAGTGCTATCATGTTTACTAGACCGCGCGTCTATATACGGCCGACAAGTTATGCCAACGTAAGTGAAGCGCTGATATAGTGCCAAACATTTAATGGACTATAGCAGCAACGAAAGGATAAGAGTATCCTAAAGGATCCTAAAGGAAGAACATTACACAGCATTGACGTAGACTCTGGTAACCGGGCATGTGAATTGATTAATAAAATTTCTGTCGAATCAGTCATATGCAAATATATATATACATACGTATATATATGTATATATATATATATATATATATATATATATATATATATATATATATATATATATATATATATATATGTGTGTGTGTGTGTGTGTGTGTGTGTGTGTATATACATCGCGAAAGTACGCACAAATACAAGGAAAATCATGCTATTATTAGCACTATTTGTCTTGTGTAGTAGTCCCAGAACTCTATGTCACATAATCGCGCGCTTTATGTTAATACAACAGAACATGTTGGAGAGTAAGAGTTTCTCCCAGCATAATACGTACATCGGGCACTGCCAGTCCGCTGAGCTAAACAATCCTTTCGTTCCCTTCGCAAACTTTTCACCGATCGAGTGCTTGCTTGTGCTCACTGTGGCGTCGGCTGGTTTTTTGGTGTTGCATTTGTTACACTCAGTTCGACGGGCAAAATTGATATTCCCACACCTGAAGGGGCAAACGTATGTGCATACGTAGACAGAGTATATTGAAAAAGAACGATCTTAAAAAGGAAATAAAAGAGTGAAATTGTCTGTGTTTCAAATCCATCAGCTAAGAAAACTCTTGTGTATATGATCTCTTGGCTCCATGTTTGATATTTGATCAAAATACATACATGAGCATATGTATGTAGTGATATACTGCACTTATGTGAATAGACGGTGACTGAGTCACACTCGTTTCTGGCGACTGAAGGTTTGTAAAACATAAGTTTCCTGTTCTCGAATAAAACTTAGCTGGGGGACTTCAAAACATGAATATGGCATGTATTCCACTGATATATAGATACGGTTGAAACCGAAGCAACATTCTAGCAAGATTCTTGTGAGAAGCTATCCGTCATAGTGATTTTCACAGCACTGGTTCATTTTATATGGGGTTCATGATAGTGAAATGGTGCACTAATTGACTGCTCCTATATGAACTGCTACGTACGCACTATCGCTGCAAATCCAGGACCCTGGTTCGTCTGGTGGTCTGCCCATGATGCAAGTTTGGTGGTGTCAAAAAGATTGTACTTAATTCCGTGAATATATGAGAATGTACTGAATTGTCACATTCGTGCATATATTACATATATTTATACATTTTTTGTTATCAGACAGAGACGATTCAGACGAATCTATTACATTCTATCTTGCACTTATGTTTTCATTTTTGATTCGAGTCGTAAAAAACACCAAGAATAAGGCGCCTGGACCTGGGGCGTGGGACTGGACCGCTGGGGCCCTGGGCCTAGAGCAGGGGCTGCGGCGGCTTGGGCCATCCGTTACATACATACTTCTTTTTTTTCTTCTTTGAAAACAAAAACAAAAACAAAATCAATATAAAAATAGGTGTAGAAAAGACCACGTGAACGGTAAACTTGAACCGTTTATTCTGACAGCAACACCATATCGACACCCTGGGCCCTGGGCCCTGGGCCCTGGAGACTGGAGACTGGAGATTGTAAATTTCCTGAAAGACAATATACTTTATAATTGCTTTGTTTTTTTGGTTTGTTTTTGTTTATTTTTTAAAAACAAATAAACCCAAAATTAACAAATACATATGATACATAAATACATAAATATACCGAACATCTGCCTTGGAACCACTTTGCGCCAAAACCAGACAGTCCACGCCCAACGCCTCACTGCTCACGCCCACGACCACGGGCAATGACTCATAACTATAAGTTATGACATGAGTGTTGACAGTTGAATCATGAGTCATCAGTCATGACTAAATTGTTAGTTTTTGTTTTAAAAAACCAAAAAAAAACAAAGAGGACCACTGGACCAGGCAGCTTTTGTTTTGGTCTTCACTCTCTCTGTCTCTCGTCAGTCATCAGAGACTCGAGAGTGACTACAGACTCATCACTCTGGATGAAGAGCAAAGGGTCTCGGGTCTCCCTTTTTGAGACCCCCACAGCCACTTCTTGTGTGCACCTGTGTGCCCCTCTTGTGTGGCCCTGTGAGGCTGTCTATGCCTCTATAAATATAGTTGGTGAGTTCAAGAGTTGTCCTCGGCGGGCGCTAGCGTAAAACGGACTACTTTTTCTTATGTTATAAGGTCTTCTCTTGGTTTCGTTACCGGACATGTCTTCTAGATTTTAAAATGTGAAGAAATCGTTTTCAACTGTAATTTCATACGAATTGCTCTACTAGGCCTCTCTAGAGTAGCGCCCTGGGACACGACAGCCTGGAGTTCTGGACTCCGAACCGACGACCCTTCCCTCTTGCAGATAATTTTCTATCTATATTTAACACAGTTATCGAGCTGTTATTTCAAAATAGAGGAGATAAATATTGTTTTTTTTTATGGAAGCCGGAAGCCGGAAGCCGGAAGGTCGATAAATAAAAATAACCATAGCCTTCAACTTCACAGTGATGATGAGTCTCTAAAATAATACTGTACGTAAAATTCATATTTGTTTGTTTGTTTGTATGTTTTTTTGTTTTTGTTAGAGAAACAAAACAAAACAAAAAGAATGTAAATAGATAAAAATTGTCAACAAAATCACGGACGCCGCGGGACGCGGGACGTCGGACTTCTATTTTAAATTTGTTTCTTTTTTTGAAAAATAATTTGTTTTTAAAAAACCACCCCCCAAAAGACCAATACGAAATTATTTTCATATGGTGCCTGACGACCACCTTACATTTCAAACTTCTAAAATCTTCCTCCGTCAAAAGTGAAAATACTTACATGTTTTTCAATTTAGAAGGCTATGTATGAAATACGATTATAATGTCTTTCAACACGTGTACGTACGACGTACGTATGTATAAAATATCAAAGACCTTTTTCTTTCTATTTCGAATCAATCTTTATATAAATCAACCTGAATCGAATGTAAGTTAAGTATCGTGACCTACCGGACAGTTGTAGACCATATTAGAGGCTTTTATAGAAGCACCATCACAAGTCAATGACTATGTGCCATAATATTATGCAGTATGTAAGTGGCATATTCCGCAATACGAGTATGGAGTCCAACATCTATGGTCAAAGCAATTCCTCATATTGGTTTCTAATGAAGCTATTCTATAAGAAAGTGATATTCCTGATTCCGAGTCGGACTGCCTATCAAATTAGGTCAAAGTCTTGTCTTTGTTGGTCATTTTAGAAAGTATATATATACAAACTCAGTATCTCACACACACTCTCACACTCACTCACTCACTCACACTCACTCACTCACTCACACTCTCACACTCACTCACTCACCCACGGAAAGTCCACACTGGATGAACTATTAATAGTAACAATAGTATGATTTTTATAAATTATATATATATAAATATATAAAATATTTGAATAAGAAAAATGGAATTCCTTTAAATAGAAGGATGCAAAAGAAACTGGGTGAAGCGAATTTTTATTATTTAGCGAAGTCAGTTGACACTGCTGGACAATTTCAAGTTGGGGACTTGGGAGTTGGGGCCTGGGCCCTGGGGCCCTGGGGCCCTGGAGGCTGGGACCCTGGAGGCTGGGGCAGTAGGATACTTGTTGAGACTTGAGAGACTAAAATTGAATACATATATTTTTTTAAATACAGAAAAAAACTATATATACATTTGTACAATTTAGAAGGCTATGATACAAACATTGGTAAAAATATGATAAATACATGTATTTATTATTATTCTTTTTTCAAAAATAGTATTGCCTGAACTCTGAACAGTCTGAATTTCTGAAGCAGTGAAGTCTGATGCCGAACTACTGAAGTCTATTTATTTATTATACTGATCGCCAAACGGGCTGGCCTGGAACCTACTGGAGCCTGCCGGCCTGGGCCCTGGGTTGGAGGCTGGAGCCCTGGACTCTGGGGAGGGCTGTTGAAGTTTTGTATTTATGTGTGATCAGTTGGTCACCTGCTCAGGCTGCTGCCTGCTGGGTCCCCGCCTCCCCTCCTCCCCGGTCTTCTTGGTCACCCGTCTCTGAGTCTCACCACCCTTTATAAATCAATATTTATTTAGGCCTGAGCAGGCTGAGGCTCTGAGACTGAGGCGTTGAGCAGTTGCGCTCACTTGCGCCGGCACTTTTTATTTATTTATTATTATTTTATAAAATGTGATTGTGGGTTTTAATTCAAGAAAACATATAACTGTTCTACTCTAAGAAGAAGACACCACTTCTCTCTGTCTTCCAGCATCACACTCTCACACTTTCACACCCGGCACTCACATAAACGCGCAACATCGATATGGGTGCACGCTATGCTGGCAGCACCGATATGGAAAATATGCATTTAAAGAGTCCGGGACCTGAGCAAGATCATGTATACAATGGAGATGATGTTCATGATACTATTTCACGACACGACGCAAGGATGGGCCCTGGTAACACCTCTCCTAAAAGGAGTGCTTATTCTTCTATTTATGCGTCCGCTACAAACGAGCCAGTAAAGGCAAAAGTACAGGTATATGACAATACAAATGAATACACACGGATGCACCCTCCCGAATTCAAAGCACATCAGACCGCGTCAGAAGCTGAGATCAGTTCGTTGGAATTTGGTAGAGCCGGCCAGCGAGATGGTGACCCTGATAACGAACGAAACACTTCAGGCAATGCAAGGGGTGAATATGGCAACGATACAGGTACTAACGCAAATGCGTCTGAACCAGCTATCGAGTTACAATCACACAGAAGCTCTAAATTCGGTCACTCCGAGGAGACGGTGAATGCACTATTGGCCATGGGGTCTGAGCGTCGGTCACCACGTGAGCAACTAGAAGTTCGAGGTCAACGTCGCAACACGTACACACGTCCGCATACACAAGACCACTATCACCACTATCACCGTACACAGGTGCAACACTATGGTGGAGAACCGGAACAGGATATGCAGCTTGACCAGGTATACCCACAAGTAAGAAATAGGCAGGTATCGCCACAAGAAAGTAGACAGGGTCAACGGGATGCTAGCAGGAGCCAAACACACCAGCATTTTGAACGAGGTATGGAAGACCGTTATGACCTCTATTCTACTCGAACTCATGCGCAACAACATAGCGGGGAACCAGAACAGCGTATCCGGGCTGCCACGCCAACGCAAGATCCTATTGTCGGCGGCACACGAAACGATGGGCATGACACAAACACCCATAACACTATTACAGGTAATAAGGACCCTGTGCCTAGCAAGTACCCAGTTTGGGAGCAACCCAGATACACGCACGAAGGTGACAGGGTCGCGCACGATAGAGAGTACATGGACGTAGACTCTTCACTGCCTAGAACGTCTTACACACACCGGAATGAACCAGACCAGAGTCACCCACGAGGAGAGTCGCAGATGCAAAGAGATGAATCACCAGGCAGTGGCCGAACTTATGCGACAGGGAACAGGCCAACTGGGTATAGACCCTGGGATGGTAGACATATGGCTGAGCGTGTGCATGAGGATGTTCGTGAGGAGAAGAGGCATGACAGTGCATATAATCACCTCGACGCAGACATGGGCAAGCATTTTAGACCAGGTCAGATGGGTAGACACCCGGGTGAGATGTACAGGGAACCACATCACATGGATGACAATGGGAGACCTTGGCCGCCACGAAGAGCAACTGACGGGGAAATACCAAGATATGAATCAGGCGGCTATAGGGATAGTGATGTGAATGGTAGCGGTAGGGGTAGAGGTTTTGTGCATGACGGGGCCGGTGAGATAGATCGTAGTATGCAACGAGGTTATGATAGTGAATTTGTACAACAGCAAACACCAAATGTTGCACAGCAACACCCACACCCTCATGAACAGCAACGACAGCAGAGAACTCCACACCAACGTCCACGCACGGATGGTCATGCGCAACACCCGTATGAAAGTTACAGCAATATGGCGGGTGATAGTGGCCCTGATTCGAATAACCAGATCCCCCCTAATGAAACTGGGTATGCGAGAAGTAACAGTCGCTTAGCTGGACCTCACGACAGCGAAGATGTCAACTCAGGACTATCAAATGAAGCGTTCGGTCGCCAAGGTGACGAGGCGAGTTGGCCGGAGCGACGAGGTAGTGGTTGGCAAAATATGCGAGGTGGATACCATCGGGAATACAACCGACACCAGCCGTACACGAACCAAGCTCACATGAGATCTGTACCGAATACACGCCAGAGTGGTAGCACAAGCATGGGTGGCATCCGCACAAGCATGAGTGGTATGCACAGGCCCGACGGTGGTGGCAACGGACCGAGTGGTTACACTAGCATTGCCAATACACATCGGAATGGTAACGATGGTGACAACCACAGCCCTGGCGCCCCCCATACCAGAATGAGTACCACGCGTGGGTTCAGCCATCCGCCACAGAATGTCGCGGAGGGTGGTGTGAACGGCCGAGGTAGTGCAAGTGGTGTGCACGGAGTCATGAATGACTCGCACAGTGGTAGTCGTGGCAGTGTGCAGCACCAGTTTGCTGACCCACAGGGCAATGTGTCTCGGCAGCACTCGCAACCGGGAGGCGCATTTGCTCCTTACGCTGGGTTTCGCGCAATGGGGAGCGGCCCGACATATAACCACGGCTACATGTCACAGACAAGTATGAGTAGGGGCAGTATGCCACCAAGGGCCGGAGAAGGGCCCCGTGTGGAATATGGCAACACCATGCCGGAAACACGAAGAAGTACAGGGCAGGGTCAGGCCTATGCGTCTAAAGGTGGGAACAGTGGTGAGCAAGAGGCGAGAATGAGACGGGACTCGCACCAAGATCCATACCGCTATCCGCAACAACGGCAGTCTTACTCTCAGCCACAGCCGCAGCATCAAAGAGGGAGTATGAGCTATCATCCAAGCGGATATGCCAATGATATGCGACAACGTCAATCATCTATACCAAATCACATAGAGCCAATGCCACCACAGGGACAGCGTAGGCCATCGAGTGTTCTTTATGAACAACAAAATGGCCCGACGTCGCAACGAGCTCCACCCTCACAGCAGCAGAACGCTATACCAGATAGAAAGACTATGCTTGTCACGCCTGCAAAATCGAGAAGATCGCGTCGAGAAAAAACTGAGGATACGGAAGTGATGTCCACTATAGGGGGTGTAACTATTATACTGAAGCCACGCAAGAAGTCTGAGGGTCATACGCCTCGACAAGCACGATGCACTCACTGTGGTACCACCGAAACAACCACTTGGCGCAGACAGAACGGAGACGTTGTGTGTAATGCGTGTGGGCTATACTACAAGACGAAGGGTATGATCAGACCTTTGTCTGTACAGAGAGCGGTGAATAGAGGCAGTAAGAACAGACGAACGCAGTATTCCGCGGCTAACGATCCGAATCTGATGAAGGGATCAGCTTCGGGTGCTAGGCAATCGGATGAAATGGATAGAGACGTGGAGCTCAAAGACGGGGGTACCCAGAAGGCAGGAAGTAGAAGCAGTAAGAGCATTAACAAGTCCAAGCTTCCCAAGAACAACAAAGCTGTCTGTGCACATTGTGATGCGACTGATACGACCCTGTGGCGACATATCAACAACGAGGTTGTGTGCAACCCGTGTGGACTGTACTATGGCGCTTGGGGGTGCGTGCGACCACCTTCCGCAAAGCGGAGACGTAATAGCCGGCCCAGTAAATCCGACGTCAGCGACATGGACAAAGGCGGCTCAGCCGATAATAGTGACTCCTTTTCTCAGACCAAATCAATGGTTCTGGATAAGAATGACGATAACAAAGCGGACAGTCTAAGTAGAAGTGTCACACCAGTTGATCTGAACTCCGTGACTGCCCAGCAAAGAGCCCCTAGCCATCCATTACCATATGCGAGCTGCAATGCGACTTCGTCGCCGACATCCGTATCAGCTGACCCCTCGGCCACGCCTCCTGCGGTGGGCGGCAGACGCAGTACACCAGTAGAGAGACACAGTACAAAAGATGATATTTGTGCGGATCGTATTCAATCAAGGTCGCCAAACAGGCCATCGGAGGAGCCTGTGAAGACTTCAGAGCCATCGCGGCCCCTAGAAGCAATGTCATAATCGTTTCTAGCTCCGAAGCCAAATCAAGTTTGTACAAGGCTGCGCTAGATTTTTAGGGTACTGCCCGTGTGCGGTTGATCACGGATTTCCCGTGAGAGACGAGCTCTGACTTGGGGTAATTGTGTGTGGAGTAACATGAACGACAGTCAGGCGATCGCCTGAACCATGTACAGGAAAACGAACAAGCTATCTGTACGAAAAATTCTGGCCTATATCGAATTTTTAATATATCTAATGGGCAGGCCCTTAGTAGTAGTATTTATAAATATAAAGATACGAATGCATTGCAACCAATAGCGCCAATTCGATTTCAAATTGATTATTTCAAGTCTTTGAGGCGCTTCGACTTGACGGGCCCGGAAAGTCATGTCAAAGAGAGCGGTCGATTGTTTTATTATTTTTCCGGTTCACTATTAGAACTAAGTTGATTGACAAGCTAGTGGTTGAACCCCCTCGCACGAACGAGTTGTTCATTTCAAATGTTGTGCCCTGTTTGTGACCCGATGAGATTCTGTAACATGTTTAACTCGCTTTAAAGCTGCAAGAAATAGCATGCAATTGGTCTCTCAGAATCGCGGCAATGCACTCTTTCATTGGAACTCAGACGCCGGATGGCTTAGGATTTGCATATTGGCAGGTTGAATAATATCGCAAAGCCAGTATTTACTGGTGCCAGGGGGTATGTGCGTAGTTTCCTTCTTTGCGAAATTGCAGTATAGAAATATACAATCATGGGTAAATCTCGGGGTACCCCACATAGGCACCGCTATAGGAAGCAACTGTATGCCGTCAAGTAGTTTCCTAAAACTAGTGAAATTCCGATGTTGTTATGTCACTACAAGGCTTTCATAACGGATGGGCTCATGAAATACCCGATGAAATATATGTCCTACATAGAAACAGCAAACAATGATCAATTAGCGTTTCCTGTCAAATTTTCGGGTTCAACGTGAACTTTGATGGTGATGACGGTTTCTTCACCCTCAGTGACTTTGGAATTTTTTTCCTGCTGCTTCTCAGGCTTTTGGTGTCTTTTGTGCTCTTGCCCGAACTTTTGTGAAGTTTGTCGAATCTTCGACATACTCGACTGTAGACAACAGAATGCAGGAGAATTGCCACGATTAGAATATATTGGTGGTATCATTGCGCCAGATATTATCGAAGTAAAATGACCATTGAAATTTTTCAAGTTATGAAGTGAGAAAATCAAAATATAGGGTTTCATATACATATTCTATTTTGTTATTGTGGAATAAATCAAAAGTACCTCGGCGATGGCTAGAGTCAGTTGTGATTTGACTTGCTTTTGTGTCGACAGAAAATTTCTGAGATCATCTATCTCCCACCTGCATAGTTTTCAGACATAGACATAGAAGTTCACACCGATGTGTTATGAATAACGCTAGTAACGAAGGAAATATTATTGAAGCAAGCAGAAATAGTCTATCCCTGTAAGAATATCTGAAAGCACTCTACCGCAGATGCAAATGTCAAACGCTCATAAGTGCGTATTTCGAGAGGAAATAACGAATTACAATCCCTTCGCGAGCTGCATACCTTAACACCATCACTGGCCCTGAGGTGGTGCACGTGGCAGATGCTTTATCCTGCGAGCTGTCAAGGAACACCATCTCACCCATCCACGAGCCATCATTCAGATAGCCCTAATGGACACAAGAATAAATAATCGTGAAGGTAAGTTGAGGCTTGAGAAATATTTTCAGAAATCCGACACAGAGACTCTAAGTCTGCAGACATGATGAAAGGAATGACTATGACTCAATCGAAAAAGCTTGTAAATTGACCGTGATGTCATCTGGATACATCACTCAAAACGAAATGTCACTTGTTAGTTCGCGGCCCACATCTCAATATATTCCATTGACATAAAAGGGCAAAATATCTACTTACCACTACTTGCTCATCCACACTGACATCTAGAGTGCCTTTATAGATTAGATACAGATTATTATGCACAACGCCCTCCTGTAGCAGCGTCTGTCCACTTTCGACCGTCATCCATTCTCCGTGGTCAAAGAGCCGGCGACACGCTCGTTCCGAAACACCTAATGCGTACGAAACGGGTCTAAAGTTGGAAAGGTGTACGGTACTTGAAGTCTGGTGTTTGCTTGGCCTAACCAGATGCATAGCAAGTCATATTGAGAGCTAAAATGAAAGGTTAAGGACAAGTCGAGCTGCTTAAAAAATAGGCATGTATCCTCCACACTTTGAGATAGACACGATGACAGGATGGTTGTTCCATCCTATGCCGGCCAGCGAGTATTGCCCTATTTTACAATATATTCTAAATTTACCCTCCTGCTAGCGACTGAGTATCGCTGATGCCAAGTACAATTAAAAAATTGTGTAAAGGGTTTAGCACTCATAATGTAATAACAGAACAAATGAATACCAAGATGACTGAGCATGCAATGGTTTGACGCACTATACAAAAAATAAATCATAAGGTCAACTGCGATCGAAAGTACCTTTTGGCATGAAGTGTCGCTCGTATAACTCCCTCTCGGCGGTTGAAAAATCGACAGACTGGCTCTCTAGATACAGTTTGACTATATTGACCAAATTGATGGTGATAAAAAGGAGTGACCTGTGAATACAAATGTAGACGATTAGTTCACGACGAATCAAAAATAAAACAAGTATTGTTCGTGTCATTTCGGTGGTGGACTTGTTCCGAGAAGCTGAGAGACTACGCGCAAAAGCTGCTGATCAGGTGCTAAATCAAGCTAAACTAGAATGCAGAAGTGTAATTGCTAGTATCATCGTGTGCTTGATATGTATCAAGATCAGAGTCCAAGGTAGGCCCAACAAAATATACAAATGTATTTACAATGATTTGAACAGCAACCTAATTACGCTCAAATTTTCATTTTTGAACATACAAATAGGCAATTGTATTGCTGGACAGGTGATAAATATACTTGTGCATTTCGTCAATCACTAATCCTATTCTGAAAACAATGAAGTGCTTGCTACAATTCTTCGCGGTTTGGATCGGAATAGTTTCTTTTGCCAATACACTCAGGTGTATTCACTCAGGTGTAATGAGGAGAACTCCGGCACATTTTACAGTAGAGCAAAGACGTATTTCAATTTGGAAAGAGCCTAAACATTTCATCTTCTAAAACAGAATTATACAAACAACTAAACAATCAAACTGTCGGTCGCGATTTGCATGCTATATATCATGTACATTCGGGATACAACAATGGCTTCGAATGTGATTGAGTGCTGAAACATACCAGCGCATTTGAAGGAACAACGGTTTTGGGTAGCTGATTGCCAAATTTGTCACCCTCATAGATGCACTCACCAGCTGCAGTGCACGCAAACTTGCAATATCTGTCATTGCATATCCAAAAGCGGACACTATTGCAGATCCGTTGATCATTCGGTTCGAGGCCTTCTCCGAAACTGATTTTACCAATAATAGGATGGATTGGCATGCGACCTGAGTTAAACATACAGTCATTGCAATGAAGCTATAATGAAGAATTTATCCTCTCCACTTTCGTAGGCTAAGTATGCGACCCAAGTTAAACATACGGTCATTGTAATGCAGCTATAATGAGGAATTCATCCTCTCCACTTCCGTAGGATGAGTATGCGATTCAAGTTAAATGTGCAGTCATTGCAATGCAGCTATATTCACGAATTTATCCTCTCCACTTTCGTAGGTTAAGATGCGACTTGAGCTAACCATACAGTCATTGTATTGCACAACTATAATGAAGAATTTATCGTCTCCACTTTCATAGGCTAAGTATGCGACGTAGGTTAAACATGTAGTCATTGCAATGCGGCTATATTCAAGAATTTATCCTCTTCACTTCCGTAGGTTAAGATGCGACTTAAGATAACCATACAGTCATAGTAATGAACAATTATGATGAAGAATTTATCCTCTCCACTTTCGTAGGCTAACCAAAATATCTGAAAATGCCAAAATATGCAGCACGTTTGATACAAGATTGTGTCGCGTACAGAAATTGATAATTCAACACACAAGGCTAGTAAACTATTCAGTGGGGTTGGAAGGGGCAGCGCTATTCTCCAGTCGAGACACCTTCACACTGCCAAAAGGAGTAGGTGTTCTCAAAATACTAATTTAGAAAAATCGCACAGAAGGTAGCAAACTACTCTGGTGCACCTATCAGAGGTTTGATGGAGTACAACATACCTAAGGGTCCTGCCCTTCCATCACCTAGGTGAGTGTGATACCACTTCTGTACCACATTCATTTGTAGTGCCTCGTCACCACTAGTCATTTTTGGTCTGCTGTGTAATGCGGTTCTGACGCCCTCTTCCGCCATTCTGGCATTATTTCTACTTGCACTCCAACTCCCCCCAATTCCACCCACGTCTCTCGTTATTCTATGTTTAGATCTCATAACTTCAGGACGCATAATACGTGTGTGTGTTCGCATTTGCGCATGTGCATGCCTTTGTGTTGGCGTACGTATGCGGCTGACTGAGCTAGTTGCTTGAGTTTCTAAATATGATGTCATGCCCGTGAGTGCAAATAGTGCGGCATCAACCCGACTTGGTTGCAAACCTACAGGACGACCAGCATCATTTGTTCTGCGTAGTGTGTTGCCCGATCTCATATATCTTCTAACTGTGAAATTAGGGTTCAAGCATTCATTTATATTCAGCGATCCTCTCCTATGAGTGCGGTAGGTGTACAAGGTATGAAAATAAAATTAGAAATCTGAATTTCGAGAAATTATCAATCACTCACTTGAGCTTGCTCTATTGAAAAAATATGAGCAATACAGCTACTACGAAAAAGTGACATGTAAATCGCATAACTAACGAATACCGCAAACCAAACGTTCAAATTGTACCATTTATATAAATGCACATAGATAAATGTATATATATATATATATATATGTGTGTGTGTGTGTGTGTATA